AGACCTAAGGCTCTAAGCCATAACTTCAAGGAAAGTGTCTGATGGATAATTTTGTTGCTTTCTAACCTGAATTTTTATGAGTAAGGTTTAATTTCTCTTATGTGTTTTCTTTTTGTTTTGTTTTTTAATCATTTTATCAGGGGCTCATACAACTCTTATCACAATCCATACATACATCAATTGTGTAAAGCACATTTGTACATTCATTGCCCTCATCATTCTCAAAACCTTTGCTCTCCACCTAAGTCCCTGGCATCAGCTCCTCGTTTTTCCTCTCCCTCCCCACTCTCCACTCCCTCATGAGCCCTTGATAATTTATAAATTATTATTTTGTCATATCTTGCCCTGTCCGACGTCTCCCTTCACCACTTCTCTGTTGTTCGTTTTCCCCAGGGAGGAGGTCACATGTAGATCCTTGTAATTGGTTCCCCGTTTCCAACCCACCCTCCCTCCACCCTCCCAGTATTGCCACTCACACCACTGGTTCTGAAGGGATCATCTGCCCTGGATTCCCTGTGTTTCCAGTTCCTATCTGTCCCAGTGTACATCCTCTGGTCTAGCCAGATTTGTATGGTAGAATTGGGATAATGATAGTGGGATAGGAGGAAGCGTTTAGGAACTAGAGGAAGGTTGTATGTTTCTTTTAGAAAGTGCTATCCACGATTTTTTAAGATAACATGAAGATAAAATATCAAAAGTTCTGAGTTTTATGGGTTTTCAGAAAATATCCATCTGACTTCATCTAATGGGCATACATTTGAGATTTCATTATGATATTTTTTTACATTATCCCGACAATGATCTTGAGCATCTTATCATGTGTTTAAATCTGCCATCCGCATATCTTCTTAGTGAAGTCTGTTCAAATTATTTGCACATTTAAAAAAAATTAGGTTGTTCGTTTTCTTATTATTAAGTTTGAAGAGGCCTTCGTATATTTTGAACAGACGTGTGTGTGTGTGTTCATTGCTCTTAATTATAGAGTAGCTAAAGCAAATAAGAGAAAGAATGAACTCAAGGAGCTGAACAGAACATTTCAAAGGGCAGCTCAAGAAGACAAAGCCAAATATTAAAATGAAATGTGTAAGGAGATAGAATTAGAAAACCAAGAGGGAAAAACACTCTCAGCATATTTGAAACAGAAAGAACTCAAGAAAAAATTCAAGCCTCAAGTTGCAATTTTGAAAGACTTTATAGGCAAAATATGGAATGATGCAGGAAGCATCAAGAAAAAACGGGGGCGGGGGGGAACACAGTTAAAAAAACCAGAGTCACTGTACCAAACTAGAAGTCTATTTGACACCCCACCTTTTCAGGAGGTAGCATATAAATGAGCAAGGACCAATGGTGTTGAAGGAAGAAGTTCAAACTACACTAAATGTATTAGCCAAAAACAAGGCTCCAGGAATTCGATGGAATACCCATTGAAAGGTACACTGGAAGCACTCACTTGTCTATGCCAGGAAATTTGGAAGACAGCTACTTGGCCAATTCACTGGAAGAGATCCATATTTGTGACCATTCCAAAGAAAGGTCACCCTTTCTTTATCATGATAGAATTTTACCATTGATATTGCACACAAGTAATATTTTGCATAAGATTATCCAACCAAAGCACTACATTGGCAGGGAACTGCCAGAAGTCAGGCCGGATTCAGAAGAGAATGTGGAACAAGGGATATTCGACCTTGGCTCAAAGCAGAGAATACCATAAAGATATTCACTCGTCTTTTTTTTTTTTTTTTTTTTAACATTTTATTAGGGGCTCATACAACTGTTATCGCAATCCATACACACATCAATTGTGTAAAGCGCATTTGTACATCGTTTCTCAAAACATTTTCTCTCCATTTAAACCCCCGACATTAGGTCCTCATTTTTCCCCTCCCTCCCCGCTGCCCCCTCCCGCATGAGCCCTTGATAGTTTATAAATGGGTATTTTGTCATATCTTGCCCTGTCCGACGTCTCCCTTCATCCACTTTTCGGTTGTCTGTCCCCCAGGGAGGAGGTCACACACAGTTCCATGTAATCGGTTCCCTCTTTCCTACCCATTCTCCCTTTACCCTCCCTGTTTTGCCACTCACACCACTGGTCCTATAGGGCTCATCCGTCCTGGATTCCCTGTATTTTCAGTTCCTATCTATACCAGTGTATCTCCTCTGGTCTAGCCAGTCTTGCAAGATAGAATTCGAGTCATGGTAGTGGGAGCGGGGAGGAAACCTTTAGGAACTAGAGGAAAGTTGTATTTCTCATCACTCATCTTTTATTGACTATGCCACAGCATTTGACTGTGTGGGTGGCTTGATGAGACAGTAGCAGGGTGAATTAAAGCCTGGGAAAGAGGGAGTAGGAGAAATGCAGAGTCAACACCAATGAACAAAAGGGGAAAAAAGAAGAAGAAAGAAAAGGTGCCCAAGTTGATTGCAGTGGTGATGGTACAACATTTCTGGATATGATTAAACTACTGAATTACATGGTATGTTAATGATGGCTCAATAAACTAGTCTTTAAAATATGCTGGTGCATTTTCATTTGTTTTTAGTCTTAATATATTGTCATTCCTAAAAAATCAGGATAGCCGAAGATCTTTGGAAATGACACGTCAGCATGAGGTTCCAACAGAAGCTTTATGCCAAATGAATGGGAGCTGTGCTTCAATGACAAGACAAGCAGAGACTCCCCACCCTCTCACTAGATCAAAGCTGCTCTGCTCCCTCGTTAAAGCAACTTTTCCTTCTGCAGAACCACTGGGTGCTGTCTTTACATTTCGGACAGTGTCAAGTGGGGGCAGCTCAATCAGCTAGCTGGTGAAAATGAAGACTTCCTCTTAAGAGCAGGATAAGAGGAACTGAAGCTATAAGCAAATGAGTTCAGCCATCAGGCAAAGAGCCTCTACTATAAAGGAAATATACCGAAGTTCAAATGCTTATTCTGCCTCAAACTAGCTGGGAGACCTTGGAAAAGTTATTTAACTTCTCTAGTTTCCATTTCTTCATTGATAAAATGGAGATGAAACTTTCAACTAACATAGGTTTTAAGTATTAAAAGACTTATTCTATAACAAATATTCAGAATAGTCCCTGGCATATAATATCATTATTTAAAACTTATTATCACTATTATTGCTATCCTCACGAAGAAGGAAAAATTATACATATTAAATACACTTAGGTTATTTTTTGCTATAAATGT